GGCGAGGGAATTTAAGGTAGAACTAATCTCATTTCCTGGTGCACAGCAGCCCTGGAGCTAAAAGAAATTTGTTTGCAGGATAAACAACCCAGCCGTAGGGCTGGAGATCTCCCTCCCTCCGTCTTCCCCCGTTGGTCTCTCCGAGCCGCTGTCCCTCTGCCCGCATTTCCAGAGAGTGCCTGGGCGATAACGGGCTGCGGCAGTTCCCGAGTAAACGGATTGTCCCTTCCGCGGCAGGCGGTGCCTCCCTTCCGGCATCGACCCGAATCGCGTTTTTTACAACAAACTTTACGGTTGGGGAGCCCGCGGGGGTGCGCGGAGCCTCTGTCCGCCCCAACCCGCGAACTGCAACCCACGGAGGACGGGGTACCCAGGCGGGAGAAGCCGCGCAGCTTCCGTCATCCGCAGCCCTGGAAAATCGATGCCAGTTGCTGGAATTTAGGGGCAAAACAGAAGTAAACCCACTGCCACCGCTCCACTCCCCCACCCTCTATCGCGTTCCGGACTTCGGCAGCGGCGGAGGGGGGGGGGAGCGCCCGGGGCCGTTCGCCGCCTAACGACCCCCGGACCCGCTGCTCCCCAGGGCAGGGACGGGGCGTAACGCCAGTGGAAGAGGAGCTGGGAGCCGGGCATCGGCGGAGGCTGCAGCCGGCGGGGAACTAGAGCTGCCGGCCAGGGACGGACAGTCCCGAGCTAGACCTCGGCCTCCTCTAGCACCGGCATGGTCCCCGCAGCTTCGCTGCCCCGTATGAGTAGAGCCCGGGCCCCGGGGGCAGCTCCCGGCCCTCAGGCCTGTTCGTCTGCTGTCCTCCCCGGCTTCCCCGTCTGCTGCCCCGAGGCTCCGGCACCACGACGGGTTGTGGGGAGTCCCGGGCTGCGGAGCGGGAAGAGGAACCACGCACTGGCCCAGCTCCCTCATCCACTTCCCGGGCCGGGACCCAGAGCCCCGTGCCCCCCGCATTCCGCCTCCCGCAGCCCACCGGCCCGACGGGGCCCCCGGTGCCCTGCCGCAGCCGTGCTGGGAACGCCGCTGCCGCCTGAGAGGGATCCGGCGAGGGTAGGAAAATGCGCTTGGCTGCGGAGCCGATTCCCGAAGCAGTGGCAGGTTTGGGGAGGGGTCCCTCGGCGCTGCGGGGAGGACGGTGACGGCCCCAGCCTTTGTTTCCCCACGGCTGGAGGGTCGGTGTGTCGGCTGGGGCAGACCCCGGCTCCGCCGGCTCCCCGGGGCTGGGAGCAGCCTACGGAGGGAGAATCAGTCTTTTCCCTAAGGAAACGCATGCCTCAATGCTCCCTTTTCTTTATCTCTCTCCCCCCCCCCCCCCTTTCTTTTTGTCTTTCTTTCTCTCTTTCTCTTTTTCTCTTTCCTTTCTCTCTTCCTCTCTTTCTCCCACCCAGTTTCTCTGTTCTTCTTTCCTTTCCTTCCTTTCCTTCCTCTCCTTCCTCCCAACCTTCTCCTCTTCCTTCCTTTCCTCTCTTGCTTCCCTTCCTCTCCTGCTTCCTTCATCTCTTCTCCCTTTCTCCCTTTCCCTTTCCCCCTACTCCCCCCCCCACCCCCCCCAATCATCGCCCGTTCCCTGACCACCACCACCGGATCTTCCCAGTTATATTGGATGCACAGCGTGTGATTTTGCACAGCTAAAGCCGCTGATGGGTGACAGCTCGCCACAGCGTTAAGGGATTGTTCCCCTGCACCATCGTGTTGTCCCCGTTCTGGCCACGGCATAAACCCAGCCCCGGAGTGGCCTTACCGCTGCCGGCATCTCCCTGGCCCTCACAGGGGTCTGCTCCCGCGCCCTGGGCTGCAGGAGGGGAGCGCCAGCCCCAGGCCAGCTCCGTCTGCCTCTCTCTCGCAGCGAAGGAGGCAGAGCAGGCACTTGTCGGCTCGGCATGGGCTGAAGCTACCTTAGGAATCACATATTTCATGTGGATTCGTTATGTATCCTGACAGTTTTAGAAGGTGTTCGCAAAGTTTGGCAGCAGTTTATCAACGATGAAATGACTAGATTTAAATAAAAGTAGCTATATAGAATCTTTTTTTTTTCTTCTTTTTTTTTTTTTTTTTTTTTTTTTTTTTTTTTTTTTTTCCACCAGGGAGTTTGGCTTGTCATCTTATTCAGTACCGTTGGAGCCCTGTGCAAATAGAGTTTTTGTATTTTTTTTTTTCCAGAGTTGCTATCTTTACTGCCCCTGTTGCTTGTTTTCAGCTTCTCTACTCCCCTGTAATCAAAGTAGTTTGGATGATTAACAACACGGAATTTAATTGTATTACCTCACTTGGTACATGGGATTATTACATGTTCATGAGTTTTACACAGTTTCATTACTTACTTCCTTCCGTGTTACTCCAAGTGGGTCCTGTTTCCCACCAGATACACGATTCACCCTGTTAAAGGTGAACAGTGAAAATCTGCTTGAAAAGGAATAGTATACTGGGCTTGTCTGAATGTTCATGTTTCGTTTGTGGGATCATAGTATCTGCCAGGACTGCTGTACATTATAAGAGCAGAAATCGTGCTCTGACATGTTTATTTCTTTTTTTATTTCTTTTTTTTTTCTCTCTCCCCCCCCCCCCCCAATTGAGTTAAAGTACCGGGGAAAAAAAAAAACAAAACCCCAAACAACAAAAAACAAATCAACAAAAAACCCCATGTATGTAATTTAGGGTATCTCCTGTGTTTAGATACAGTGTACTTGCTGAGCTATCACCCAGCTGTGTTTTCAGCTGATTTCCTAGCCTGAGGCTTACGAACTGCCTCTTCTCCATGGGGCAGCGCTGGGCTTGCCCACAGAGTTGCGGTCGGGTGAACGTGGCAGTTGGCATTAGGAGGAGGGTGGTAGACGTCCAGAGAGCTGGGCACCTCTGAGTGTGGCTTTCTGGGGCCATTTTCCTACAAGGGACCCGACCTGCGTTCTGGCAGGAGGGTCCTCCGTCTGGCGAGTGACAGTACGGCAGCGCAGACGGCTGCCTCCGTGCTTCGTGTCCGGGGAAGATCGGCTGGAGCGATGCTGGGGAGGCGATGCCGAGTGCCGCGGAGTGCTGGGGCTGGGGAGTCTGGCCTGCAGAAACGTCTGAAACACTCACATAGCTCTTCTTCTCCTGCCCTTCTCCCCTTCCCTGTGTATTTCAGGACACGGAGGCGTGAATCAACTGGGGGGTGTTTTTGTGAACGGCCGCCCCCTCCCAGATGTCGTTCGCCAAAGGATCGTGGAGCTCGCCCACCAAGGGGTCCGGCCGTGTGACATCTCCCGGCAGCTCCGCGTCAGCCACGGCTGCGTCAGCAAAATACTTGGCAGGTAAAGGGGGGACTACGAGTCTGCTGTGTCCATCAAAAGTGTCAGTGCCGGTCCCTGAACCGAAGGCTGCAGGCAAATGGAGAATAGTAGGGACCTCAGGAAACCAGCCCAATGAGTCCAGGGGCTTCCTGACCACTCGTGGTTTTACATGCCTGATGTGAAGGGAAAGTGATACTCTTCATATGTGTGGTTTGCCCCTTCCACAGTTTCTTATAGGTAATTCTACTTCTATGTGACATGTATTTGCTGTATATACAGCATGTATCCTGTGCCTGTCTGTTCTGAATGAGTAGAGACATCTGGGGGTCATCCTCAAAAAACGCAAAAAAGAAATAGAAGTTGCGGAAATCACTTGTTTTATTTTCTGAAGACGACTCTCTTTTAACAATAATACTATGTATTACTTCAACAGTGCAGGGCGTTCATTCACACAGGCTAGCACTCTGTCCCACTGCTTAGTTCAACATCTTTTTCTACTCTTGTGCTGGACTATGTTCTTAATCAGAGCACAGAATATAAAGTTATAAAGTAACTATTTACCATCTTATTTTTGGCTAATTTGGGAGTATCCCTCTGATCAGGCTGGAGCTGTTCAGACCACTGAGGCAACAAGAGATTAAAACTCTGATTTTGTATGATTTCCTGATTTTGTTTTAAAATTTGACATAGATACAGGTCAAACATACTGTTATTGCTTCTCTGTATCTCATAAATAAATCTGAACATAATCTCTATAAACTACAGAGTTAAAATGGTTTTGGGCACCAGGTATTCTGAGGTACTTGGGCATCTTATATTAAAGAAAACATTTTATTTTGTTGTTAGAACATGTTTTTCTGATAATCTGGAAAGATAATTCCTGAACTATTTACTAAACTTTCACAGTTCATTGTTTAGAATTTTACTGTTTTATGTTTACCTTTTGCTTCTCCAATTTTTAGAGAACTTGCTTTTCAGAATATAGCATAGCTGCAAAGACTGTTAAAGCAAATTTTATTGTTGTATCATGTAGAGGATCTGCTTGGGTTAGCAGCAGTTACGGTCTCTCAATGGACATTTAAGTGTTCGGGATCAGACTGACTTGGCATAGTTACAGGCCCTTGGTTTTGTAGCTGTTGTCACTCTTTTCCCCACAGCCCCTTCTCATCTCTACTCACATGGAGCCTCCACAGCCGTGCATGGCACTTTCTGAGAGAGCTGTGCTAGCCCACGTGCAGGTTACACTCAACACCCCTGCTTTTTCCCTCCTGCTGCCACTGCAAGGAGATACATTCCCCTTCAAGCTATGCTTGTGCTTCCCAGTGTAGTTTTAAGGACATTGATGCCTTTGCTATTCTAGACGTAAAAACTTTTCATGGGCTTTATATGAGACTTACTTGCCCATCATGGGCTGTTTTAACTCAGTTACTGGTTTGCATCCGCTGCCGGCACACTGCTGGCATGGTTTGGCTGGTGATGCTCTCTGCTGCAGCAGAATCACCAGAAGTTTCTGCCAGGATCAGTGCACAATTAAGAAGCAGACAATTTATTTACTTACCAGGCAAATGTCCGATGATTTCACTTTTGATAGTTTGAATAGATATACCACTAGATGTATTTGTACTATATAGCTAAGAGTGAGGCTCCAGAGCTTTGTCATTAAAGTTGTCAACAATAAATTGGAATTTCATAGCTCATTATTTTCATAACTAATAATTACAGTGGATAAAATGTCAGTGTAATTGCAGCTCTGTGTGTGTGTGTGTGAAAAATGGGTATCCTTGTGATAAATCCCCACACTTGGAATTCTGTAGTCAGAATTTTTAGTCCTTGATGGAGCCTTGAAACCCCCCCAGAGGCAGGGAACCAGTAGTTGCAGTGCAAGTGAAATTCCCACCCTCAGAGAAGGTGGCTGTTTTCCCCTTTTCACTTTTCCACTTTTCCCCTGCACTGGCAGCTTGCTGGGAGCAAAGGGCCTGAACCTGATGTGCATAATATAAAGCCAAATACGGCCATCCTTGCCGTTAAGATGGAGATGGGAGTCAGGGATGTCCGTGCTGTGCATCCTGCAGGCCTTTTAGTGTGCCCAGGTGCATTGCTCAGGTAGAGGGAGGTGTCAATGGCACCACTGGATGAGAGTTGTCCCCTCTTGCAGTGAGCTCTCCTGACTGCCTGGGGAGAAGGTCATGGGCCTGATCCGGCACCCTCCCAAGTGAGGCAGGTCTTTCTGCTGATGTGTGAGTACCTTTGCAGGGCTGGGGTCGTGAGGGCTGGCAGGGGGGCAGTGGTTTCAGGATTTGGGAGTGGAAGCCCTGCTGTCCAGAGGGCACCAGAGCTGTGTCCCCTGGTGAGCTCGCAGCTGCCACAGTACTGTGGCTGTGAGGGCCTTTGCTGTCATGGTGTTCCCTACCTGGGTGAGTCAGCCGTGGAAAATGTCATTTTGCCTGCTCAGCCGTGGCTTCCCAAACTGCTGGCTGATGCTCTCCTCTGCTGGCCTGCCCTGCGTTGTGGGGTAGTTACCAGAGGTACCATGCCATGGGGCAGTGGGGCATTGCTGGAGAAAAACACTAAAGAACGTTTGTGTAACATCCATCATTTTTGACCAGAACTAAGAAAATGGCAAGATTTTGTTTGGAAGCATTAATGGTATTTTCTGGCTTCCTTTAACACCACCCTGAAAGGAGATTTTGAAGCCAGGGGTGTGAGGTTTTAATAGGTTTACTTCTAGTATATTTACGTTTCATAGGTTTTTGTCCAGTAGGTCTGTGCTTGCCATCATTTTGTCATATCCTCAGGGAGCACAGGGCGAGCTGAATTTTACCCCTCTGCCCTAAAGCTCACTACCAGGCTGTGTTTAGAGGCACCAGGAGGGTTATTATCCATCTCTGACCCTTGACGCTTTCCCTTGCTATTACTGGTTAAATGTATTAAAACTGGTGTTAAAACTGGTTAAATGGCTCATGGCTGCAGGTAGATCTGAGTCCACATCTGAATCCAGAATACTTGAAAACATGTACAAACAATGCAGTGTCAGTCTCTTTCAAGGAATTTTAGGCCCTGCACACAGAGCCCTCCCTGAAAGATTGGAAGCAGGTAGCCTGGCAGATAGCCTGGCAATTTGATGAACATGATTACGTGTTACAGTGAGAGAGACATTGGCGGTGCAGCCTGTTTGTGTTCTGCTCACGCTGGAAAGATTGGGGAATTTTATGTTTTTTTTTCATATAATGGGCATGTCAAGTAGCTGCAGAGAAAATACATTAATCAGCACTCTTAGATTCTTACTTTGGGGGTCTTTTCTGCACTCCCTACTAGAAATACAGGCATAGAGCAGTGAGTGGACACGTTTAAGCTGCTGAGAGTGTGTGGCTTGAGCCCGGTTGAAAGTCTTATGGATCCACGTCCTGCTCTGTGCAGAAGGGATGTACCAGATTGGTGGGGCAGTTGCTGCAGGTAGGCACAGGGTTTATTTATTTCTCATTTGCTCATGAGAAAATTCACAAGATGCAAAGAAGATGCAAGTCTGGGAGATTGCCTTGTGCACTGTGCTCCCTGGCAGCACAGCACAGAGGAGCACGATCTCACTCTTGGTCTCCATTCCGGCCTTCAGTGGGTAAGATATGCTGCTCTTAGCAGCATGTTCAAGGCCTCGTTTATTAAAAGGGAAGACTTGTGGGGCTGGAGATCTCAGCTGCAATTTATTGTTTTTTTCAATGCTTCCAAAAGCACTGTGTGATTTACATGTGAAGGAATACGGCAGATTTCTGTCAGTGTGGGGATCCAGTCTTCTGTCTTCCCCAGCATTGGCATCAACAGAGCTGCTTCTGTGGGTAAAGATGTTACCCCTGAGGAAAGGCCTCAGAACTGGTCACAGAAACCAACCCACATCAGAGTGGGGACAGCCCTCTTTTCCTTGAAGTTTGCAACTGAATCTACTGAAAACATACTGTTAAAAAGAATACATTTTAAATATGTCAACTATTAAAATGATAACATGCGTGTTAAAACCATAAAATGGGGAAGAGATATGCCGGCATATTTATCCTGGAGATGCACATAAAATACAATACCTGGCCTTCATTTAATTATGAAATGATAACAAGCTGTAGATATTAGTGACAGAAAATTTTTGTATAAACTGCAATTTGCTACAAAAGAATCCACCACAGAAAGTGGTCTCGGGTGAGATTTGTTTCTATTATTGCGAGTACCACTGATTAATAACATACATTTTCAGTTCATTTTGGATTCCAGCATGCCCTTTAATCTTGCATTGTTTCTTTTGTCTTGTTATTACAGAAAAATATATATTTTAACCCGAGGGCCCAGTTCCAATTAATATAAATTAATCTATTAGGTGATACAATGCTACATAGGCAGAAAATGTGTATGTGAAAGTGAAGATGTATCTCAGGATTTACTGGGGTTTGGTTACCTTGAAATTACGTTCTGTGTAAATCTCAAGGCATGTTCTTTGCCTGTCTGTGATAACTAAAGCTTTGTTTTGGATGTTGTCCCAGGTATTACGAAACCGGGAGTATTAAGCCTGGAGTGATCGGAGGATCAAAACCAAAGGTCGCCACACCCAAAGTCGTTGAAAAAATTGCAGAGTACAAGCGCCAAAATCCCACCATGTTTGCCTGGGAGATCAGGGATAGACTCCTCGCTGAGCGAGTGTGTGACAATGACACGGTGCCCAGTGTCAGTTCAATTAACAGGTAAAGATCTGTCTGGTCCTGGGGAGGGATGCTCTTCAAAGTGCTGCCACTGAATACTCACTTAGTTAGCGGGACTGGGTGTTTGGGCTGTTTGCAAGACAGCAGACATTAGCTGCATTAGCCCTCCTGTGTTCCCCTTATGTGTTTGGTGCTGGGGAGCAGCTGTGGGCTCACTTCAGCAGCCAAAGCATCACAGATTGCAAGCATTTTCTAGGAGTGGTCAGATTCTGTTGCAGGCCTTTGCTTCTTTCCCGTCCTTTCTCCAGTCTCTGAGTTGCAGTCCTCAATGATCCTGTGTGTTTGTTCCAAATGAGTCCCCAGTTCTGCTTGATAGCACAGGGGTTCGTCAGGATGTGTTTTTCGGGGGGGGGGGGGAACTGAGACGGCTATTGAGAGAGGTGGCAGTAACCTGGAAAAAGGGGGTGCCCAGTGCCTGGAAGAGGGTACCAATGGTATGGGCCTGCGATACCACTTCTGTCCTTCTGACATCTGCTTAGTGTGGCTGAAGTTGGTCCAGAACCATGCTGGCTGCTGCCCACTACTGTCAGTGTGGTATTGCTGAGGCCATTTGGTCAGCAGCTTTCAAGTGACTTGGCCGTCTGCTTGTTACATGGATGCACTTAAGTGGCCTTGAGTTGGTTTTCTAAAAATGTAGGAGAATCTCATCTGGAGCCTCAGGTAGTTTTTTCCATGACCTTGCTCGAAAGGACTGGGCTCACAGAGGGGTATGGAGCTGCACTAACCTCCTGCCATCTCAGTTACACCTTCTGTACTCACCTACTTCCTTCTGAGTCAGAGGATGCCTAAAGCTGATGCTGAAAAAACACAGTGAAATACTTTGTGATGTCTCCACCCCTGACAGACAGATAATAAGGGATTAATACCTGGAAGCGGGAGTGCTTGAGCAGTCTCATACAGACTCACACCCCTGACAAGCAGTGTCCTTCCATTTTTGCTCAGAGGTGTGCCCTGTGCTGGGCTCCGTCCTCTCCACACTGGTGAGATGGTTTTCACTTGCGTGATTGCATGCAAATTCTTTGAATGCAGCTAGCTATAAAGTCCCATTTGTGTCCATGTACGTGAAATAAATTGATGCAATATTCTTTTATTGGCTATCCCAACCTGATTTGCATTCATGGAGCTGCTGCTTGAATAGCTGGAGTGGCTTCCCCAGTGTTAGCAGAGAGCAGTGTCTCTGCTTTGCTGAACTGAACGTGGAGTCATCCATTCACATGCTCAAGAGCAAAAATGGGTGAGTTAACAGTTAACAGGGCCTAGGAGCCCCTGACTTCCTGAGGCTCCAGAGAAGCATTCTGTAACCCTACAGACATGCTATTTTTGGTTTTAGAAAGGATTTGAAAAAATAAAGTAGATACCAGGGAAACTGAAGGAAAATACCACTCTGCCTGACCTCAAATAACTGAGGGCAAGCTCTGCTTCCATTAAAGCCAGTGCACATCCCACCATGTGAGAAGCATTGCTGCTGTGAGCAGTCCTGTGTTTGTGTATTACGGCTTTCATCATCTGAAAAGCTACCAAAAAGGCAGTCATAGCACTAGGAAAAAGGGAGATTAAGTCATGTTTTGAGCCAGTTTCCATATTCTTTCTCTTGCTGTGTTCTTGCATGTTTCCACATGGACAATGTCCACACTGCCATTGCATCAGAAACTCATTTTGTGATCTGGCACAAAGCTTTTTGGCTGGAAATCTCATTCATTCTCATATGCTTGTGATGGTGCTTAAGATCTTTTCCTTATTTTTGAGGGTGTGCAATCCCTTTTTTTAGAAATGCACTCATCTCTTTGAATCAGTCTAGCTGGAGAATTGTTTTGTCAGCCTAGGAGCTTATCCTGAAAACCAAAACCAAACTATCATGATAAGAAACCTTGAATTCACATCAAAATACTTGGCTTTGATGTTAAGTCCTCCCAGTTCCACGGTGTAACATGTGGATTTTATCCTCCTATTTAAAATCAGGCATATACTTCCAAGGCTTCACCAGTAGGGTGTTACACACCAAGGATGCAGACCCTTATGATGCCCCTATAAGGTCATGATGCTTTATTCACCACTGATGTGCAAATCAGGAGCTGCACTGTTGTTGCAGACCTGAGCCCATTTGAAATGGCACAGTGAGGTTCCTGTCCTGCTGCAGGGAGGGTGAAGCCAAGCAATTGGCATTCCTGCACAGGTGACATGGAGCCCCCGACACTGCGTCCCTAGTCGCTGCCTCTCACTGGAGAGGGGGGATACCCTGCAGCCATGCATGTTGGAGAATGTTGGAGATACTGGGACAGACTGCGCTCAGCACATCCCTGCTGCAGGCAGATGAGTTTGAGCTGCTGCTTTATATTGAGCGAATGATAACTATTATCATTAATTAATAACATTAATTAATATTAATAATAGGCCACTCTTCTGCAACAGGGGCAAGTCTGCGTGATTAAGGCTTAATTAATCATTGCAATTAGTTTTGCTCAAATAAGCTGAGAAATGCCCAGCTGCTTTGAAGTGCTCCAGTCCTCTGTCCATCCAGAGATGAAGATGTTTGTGTGTCAGAAGTCCTTGGGCATTCTTCCCTTGCCACAGCAGCAGGGAGGCCCTGTGCAGGTGCTCATGCAGGGTCCCAGGTCCTTGGCTGTGCTCCTCGATCGAAACTCGCCCTGACCCTTGCACCAGGCTGTCCTTGGCTGGGGATTCTGCTGCTGAGGACCCATCCATCAGAGACATGTAACACCCAGCAGCTTTGCTTTGGGTCTGGCTGCCAGAAAGGTGGCTTACTAACATACCAAGCTCCTGTTAGCCTCCATCAGACCCTGCAGATGGATGGTAGGGGAAGAGGATGGCAGCATGTCCTGGAATGGGGACAGGCGTCACCAGTGGTGGCTCCCATACGAGCTCATGGGGTGACTTTCCATCAGGCAACTGCTGTTTGTTCCTATGAATGCACTGCCAACTGTCTCTCACCTCCCCTCTCCTCCCCACTTCCAAATTCATGGCAGGGAGAAATGGGGGAAGACTTTGTTAGGTAAAGAGGAGAAATACATCATTACTGCTGTGTAAACAGCATGCTGGGGTAAGAGATGTGCTGTGGGTGAGCAGCGTGCCTCCCTCAAGCCTGTTTCAATTCTGCTGCAGTCAGTGGCAGACCTGTGTTATCTCCAGGGGTGTTTCAGACCCTGCTTTTCTTTTTTCCAGTGTGTCAGCAGGTGAACTCTCTGTGTAGCATCTCCTCATTCTTCTTAGGAGCTGCCCTCTGCCCTGCAATATGACCCATGCCTTCTTCTTTATCTACATCTCTGATTTTTACCAGATTGACATCATTATAAGTCACATCAGCAGCTATCCCCAGTGATGACAATGTAGTTATTCAGCTTTTTAGATTAGCATTTAATCTAACAAATTTTTGTTTTAATATTGATTTGACTGAGCCGGTCCTTTTCTGAGGTGCCCAAGTTCTCTAGCTGTGTGAGTGCTGTACCCAGTACAGTGTGTATGACAACACAGCGTGGTCTAGTGTGGCCTTGCAGATGTGTCCCAGCACCCAAGGGCGCACGCAGATCACAACCTGCTGGGGTGTCTAGACTCAGAAGTGCCCAGCTCCCTGAGGAGGTGTTGGGTGCTGGGCCCAAGAGGTGCCAAAATAGTGATGGGTATCCTTTTCCTAGGCAGCAAAGACTAGGTCCTCAAGTCACTGAAGCTGCAGCACCCCGATGAGGGTGTTTGAGTCAGTCACCTGAAAGTTCCTAATGACAGGGGCTGGAGGCAAAAACACGGTCCTGAACCCACCCACCGAACTTTGATCTTTCAGCGGGTGCCAAGGGGATAATACACAGAAAGTCATTTTTGTGTTGTATTGTGTGTGTCCTGAACTGAAAAAAGCAGTTCTTGGTGCCCCTTGCAATTGTGTGCTTAATATTAAGTAGTCTTTTCTATTCAACTACATGCAGGATCATTCGGACGAAGGTGCAGCAGCCACCCAACCAGCAGGTCCCAGCTTCCAGTCACAGCATAGGTAAGGAAAACTTAAAAAAAAAAAAAAAAAATTAAAAAATAGCATAATGGATAACAAATATTCTAAAGAACTTTTAATCATTCTTATGGACAGATAATTCTGCATAAAACACTTCAGCACATGTGCTAATGCACCTTCTTTGTCATTCTCCAAGGGCTGAACATAGTAAATGAATTTTATAAATACTGCTAAAAGGTTTTGAATTTTACTGATTATTATGATAAATAGCTTTCACCATGAGACAGAAAATTGAAATCTAAACCAAAAAAACCCCACTAATGGGGGTCTATAGAATGTCAGATAATTAAAGTAATAAATCAAGAAAGGGGCACTTATTCATAACATTTTCTGCATCATTAGTCAGTAAGTAGTTTTGAATGTGTTTTTTTCATCTATCAACCATCCCTTCCACAATTCTTTGTGCACTTGCAGTCTTGAGTGAAGAGGTGGGAAAACTTTCTGAAACTTTAATTCAGCTGCAGACCGGTGATGCTGTGTCCCGAGGCGGGCAGATCGGATCCCGGGGAGGGTGGCCTGGCTCCTGGGGCATCCCCAGCCCTTCCTGAGGCTGAGGGTAGCCTCTTTGTCAAGCCACAAGAGGGATGGAACAGCTCAGTCAGGGCTCAGGGCTCCTTTCTTGATATCCTTGTTCCCTGAAAGCCATGGGGCATGGGTAAGTCCTTGCTCCGTGAGCAGAAAGGAGTGGGATGGTGGCCCTGGTTCCTCTCTGTCTTTATGGTGTCACCTCTGAAATGGGAAAATGTTCTCCCTGCCTTTGCAAGAGTGGGCTGGCACTGTGACACTTGAGTGTGGGTGCAGAGCTACGTGATCTCTTTGGTCTTGTCAAAAATGTCACACTGCAGAACTGTGTCCTGAGCCTTTCTCTCCAGGAAATGCCAAGACAATCCCAAGAGGAGGAAAAGCATCCCTCATTTTGCTATTGTGGCTGTCTCCCCCTGAGGAAAACAAGAGCAGAGAAGGCAAATCTTGTTTCTCAGGCCTTCGGGTTGATAGAGGCATCAGGTTTTGACATAGGTTTTCTGTGTGTGGGCTTTGGCTCCTCACTGTGGTCCTGCAGTGGACCCCCTGTGCTTGGGGGTTACATGGTGATTTCTGGGATTGCGTGCCAGCACAGGCTCAGCCTGTGAGCTGATGGAGGTTACAGCTGTGCTCCCTCCTCTGCTTGCTTCTGTACAGCTTTGACTCCCACAGCACCACATGAACACAGTGTCTGCATCCCTGGCGGGCATCTCCAGGCTTTTGTTGGCTGTGATGAATGAACCCCTCCTTGAGCTGAATGTGGCCAACACCCTTTCCTGAGGGCTGTGCGAAAGCAAACTTGATTTAATTGATACTTTGGAGAGCCTTAGGACCTTTTAGCCACGTGGTGCACAGCTGGATAACCTTGGGTCCCTGGACAGTACCAGCCACGCTGGGCTCTTCACTGACTGGATGCTGGTGGCTTGTGCCAGTGGGATGTTGGCAGCAAACCCAGCATGGTGAGCGCAGGCTGCTGTGCTCCCATGAGATTCCTGATCCAGGAGGCTGGCAGCCTTCCCTGAGACCTCACTGGGGAGCCCGTTTGGGGAGGGTCCTCTCTCTGCATGGCTATGCTCCCAGCAGCTCATTCACCTGACTGATGACATGGCCTGTTGTGGCCTGATGGCATCTGCTGGCCTAAGAAATGTGCCTTCCCACTGTGCCTCGCTCAGGATGGGGCATCTGAATGCTTAAGAAAAGCATCCTTCATCCAGCAGTATAGGGCCTTGTTCCCTCATGGTGGAGCAAGGGGTAACCATGTCACTGCTCCCACCCTCACACAGGGCTCTGGTGGCAGACTGATGGGCAGGGGTCCTTCCCAAGCCAGGAGGGGCCCCAGGGGCCAGCAGATCCCCAGCCCTGTGGCCAGCTGGCCTTGGTCATGCTGCAGGGGCTGCTGGCTTCTGAGTAGGCTGGCACTCATGTTGTCTTGCTGCTAACCTCCTGGCCTTGCCTTGCAGCCTCCACGGGGTCTGTGACACAGGTGTCTTCTGTCAGCACTGACACTGCTGGCTCATCTTACTCCATCAGTGGGATCCTGGGAATCGCCTCCCCTGGCACTGAGAGCAACAAGCGCAAACGGGACGAAGGTAGTGGGAGCTGTTTTCTGGGTGGGGGGTGTGCACTGATGCATGACCTAGAGGGATGGTACAGGGATGGGGTGGATACTGTGTGCATGTGGCATGATGGAGCTGCAGATGTCTCCCACTGCTGTCTGCTGTGGTGGGTTTGGTCCTGTTTCATCAGCCCTTTGCCAAGGTCCCAGCCAAGCTGGAGACCTTTGGTGTGACCTGGTGGACAGAGGCAAGATTTCTTCGAAGAGTGGGAGCTTGTCTGGGTGGTCCAGAAAGCACTGGCGGTGTGTCACAGGTTTAAGCAGAACCTCCTCCTGGTTGAGGAACATTCCCCTCCTGCCGCTGAAAAGAGAAAGAGTGGCCATCATGTTAATTATCTGGCCACCTGAAACATAAGGTGTCAGAGGGGCTTCCCCATCCACAGAGACACACAGAGTTAATGGCAGAGCTGTCTGCCATACTGTATCTCTGCAGGTGCCCGCAGCACTGAGAGGCTTTTATTGGTCTTGGAGGTGGAAACAAGCATGGTCTGGTTGTGGCTGGATATTGCCAGTGCTCCTCAGACCCATTGTAGGGTCCTGTAGGGTCCTGTTTCATTCTGCATCCTTGGCATTTTTGTAATGAAAACACTGCTATGAAGAGAAGGATGTAAGGAATAGAGTGAAATGAAAAAGATGAGAAATTCTGTGTTGGTGCATTATAAAGGCACCTTTAGTCTAGAGCATACCTTTTGTTTAGTAAAAGCTTACAGAGAGGGGTTGGGGCCAAGACTGTGGACACGTGGTGGTGGAGGGAACACGAGAGCTTCAGTGGGGAAGCTGTGGAGAGCACTGAAAAGATGTGTGGCTGCCCACCCTACAGCAGTGCTGGTGGGCTGGGGATCCCTTTTGCTCTTGAAGGGGATGAAGCCCTCTCCTGCCTGCCAGGTTAGGCTCCTGCCCTGTGCTGTGGAGCACCCATGGTCCCTGGCTCTTGTGCTGCTGGTGTGGGTCCAGCAGGGCCCGGCATCCCTGTCCCCCACAGGAACAGAGGGTGAGGCGGGCAGTTGGGGGGAAGCCATAGTAACTTTAACCAAAGCTGGGGAGAAACCCAGCTGAAATTGGATGAGCAGCCTGGTGCCTGAGCTGTGCAAACAGGGTTGGGTTGGAAATGCCTAGTCAGGTTGCAGAGCAGTACTTGGTTTACTGAAATGGGAGAAAACTGTGGGAAGTTTGTCAGGCTAGTATAGCCACGCAGGGACTGGTCCAATGGTGGGAGTGCAAAACTCCTTGTGCATAGGTACTTACTGAGTATGCCATTGTTAGTTAACTCTGCCATCATACATCTGATACTTTTTTCCAAGTCAAGGCCACAGATGCACAGATGCATAAATGCACTAAAGCAGGTAGGGTAGAAATTCTGTATTTTACTATCCGGGTCAGGAGACAGGCGATCTGTAGTGAAGGCACTCTGCTCTGTTATAGCCCTGTCCTGATGGCCCAGTTCTTGGGTGCCTTGGTCACAGAAGCCTTTGGTTTAATTGTAGAGGAAATAATTAAATGTTTCCTTGACAAGATCTGAAGCAGAGCTGAGAAATTCCACAGCTTTTGCCAGTTCAAGTTTAGAAGAGAGCGCAAGATTTCTAAAACAACCCCCATCGTTATGGCAGGATAAGTCATGGTTTTCCAGCTCCTAAGATGGACAGTAATGCTGTCCTCAGAAGGCCATTTAAACTGCTTTTGTAATAGGCTCAGGGCTGCAGATTTGGAGAGGTATAAACAGGTACTTCAATATCTCTGTTAGAGGGGAACCCTGGGAGCATCTGTAACCTGTCCCTGTCCTGCACAACATAAGGCCCCTCTGCATGGGTAGGTGGGAGGTGCCCATGGAGGTGTCCCAAAGCTTCATACTGCAGGTGACAGGGATGTGGGTCATATATGTTAGCCTCTAATGTGAAGAACAGAAGCATGTCATCTAATTATGGCCTGTATCATGATGCAGTTGCAAAAGGGGGCAGAGTTAACTTTACCATTTCGCAACGTCAGAGAGCCAGAGAGCATCTACTTCTGCAGCAAGCCCCTTGCACCGTGTCTTTGCCATGTCATGCTGTTTCTCAGTAGCTATTGGGAGGTGTGTGTCTGCTGCTGTACCTCCCCACTTATGTCTCCTGGAGCCACAGGCTGTGCACCCCATACCTAGTGGTTCTGTCTCCCCTTGGCCAGGGAGTGAAGTTGGGTGGACTTGCCCCTCTGGCTTCCAGCTGCATTGAGCACTGCACCTGATTCATTACTTGGTCTTGTTCCACTCACTCTTGACATTTTTTTAGCAGATGTCACCAGTCTTTAACCCAGTGGGGAGCTTCCTGCGTAGCAACAGGGGCAAACCAAATCAGACAGTCTTTATTGGTTTATATAGCTGAAGGTGTCATTTTTTTTTCCCTGCTGCAATACAGCCTTGAAGCAGATGTGCCTTCGTGGGGGATCTGTTGCTTTCACTTGTGGTTAAAGGACATGCTACTGACACGAGAAACAGGCTGTTCTGTAACAAGGCAGAGAGATATAGTCAATGCCAAAGCCGCAAGTAGCAGGGGTTGCTGGGCAGCAGGCTTGTTGTTCGGCTTGCAGGTTGCATTCGTTGAGTTTTGTGGCTGCACATTTGCCTGTCCCCGCAGCTCAGGACAAAGTGTAGAGGTGCAGGGGGTGGCAGAGATGTGCAGAATGATCTTGCTGAAGCTGCCTGCTAGTGAAGTGGATGTATTTTAGGGAAGCCAAAGGTGGGCAGCGAGACCCTGAGTCAGGGTGGGCTGAGCGCTCTGTCCTGTGCTTGCAGCTAGTGGCAGTGCAGGCACGGCTTTCACTGTACTGCTGACAGCTGCTGGCTGGTGAGGGTCCCATAACGGACACCTGACAGGATCTGTGTTTTGGGAAGTGCTGACGTCCCCTGCCTGGGAGTCAGAGGTGTTGGAAATGAGATTAAATAATCCTTGAGATAGTAGTAAGAGAAAGGCAAAAGAGAGCTGTGTCCCCAGGCAGGTGTGCACACTAGAGATAGGATGGAGGAGGTCGCTGGACTGTGAGTCCTCTTGAAGAGGATCTTGAGGCATGACAGGAAGGAAGGGCCAAAGCACAGCCAGGTAGAGAGCCCACCCTACCTTCCCCCTTTGCTCCTTTTGTCCAGCCCTGGTTTCCAGCCTGAGTGCTGCAGAGCTCTGCAGGTATGGGAGAGCCAGCAGAAGGGCTTAAGCCAAACAGAGTGATGCTTCTGGCATGTTTGAGCTGTCCTGGCTGAGAGGGATTGTGAAGCAGGCACACAGCCAGTGGCATGGGATGTGACTCTTGCCTGAGATCTCAGGAGCTGGTGCTGTCCCTTCGAGAGTGGCATCCCTCCATCAAAGCAAGGCAAAGTCTAGGGCTCTTGCTTTTGCGAAAGCCCTGCACTCTGTACGAGGCAGTCCGTGTCTGCTGCTCATTTCTAAGTGTGCTCACTTTCTGTGTGTTCTCCTCCCCAGGGTGAGGGAAGCACATGGGGTGATGCTGGCTGTCGTGGGGACAAGATGCACCTTGTGCAGAGACCTCTGCTTGCTAGCCAGCGGCGAGCTTGAGCTGGTTGGTCTGAGCACATCCGGCCTGTACACGAGTTTTCCCTCTGGCATGGGCAGCTGCTGCTGTGCTCTGCTCCAGCCAGAGTCGCTGTCAGGGCTGGTCTATGAGCTGGGGTGGGAGGCTTGGTTCTGTACCCACACAGAGAGATGCAACTGTCTCCCAGTGGATTTATGAACAGGGGTTGGAAGAACTATGTGAATCTCCGTTCTCATGGCTTTTCCTTACTTTATGTTGTCATGGTTTAAGCCCAGCCAGTAACTCAGCGCCACGCAGCCACTTGGTCTCTTGCCTCTTTTTCCCCCTTCCCAGGCAGGATGAGGGGGAGAATCAAAAGAATGTAAGCTCAATGGGTTGAGATAAGAAGTTTAACTAAAGTACAACATACTACTAATGATGATAAGGGAAATAACACCCTTATTAGAGGGAGAGAATATAAAACTAATAAGGGGAAAGAAAAACACTAACCAGCAGTGATGCCCGATACAATTGCTCAAGACCCACTGACCAATACTCAGCCCAACCTGAGCAGCGATTGGTCCCTTCTGGGGAACTCACCCCAGTTTACATACCAAGAATAATGTGCTATGGTATGGAATATCCCTTTGGCTAGTTTACGCCAGTTGTCCTGTCTCTGCTCTCTCCTAGCTTCTTGTGCCCCTCCTCACTGGCAGAGCAGGAGAGTGGAAAGTCCTTGATCAGGATAAGCGCTACTTAGCAACAACCAAAATATCGTTGTGTTATCAGCATTGCTCTTACACTAAAGCCAAAATGTACTGTACCAGCTCCTAGGAAGAAAATTAACTCTATCCCAGCCAAAACCAGAACCTACGCAAAATGCAAACCATTTTGCTACATGGGAAGGATGACTGTTAGACCAAATGCTGCATATTTTGTTGGACAGCTGCATGTCTAGTTGTGAGTTTTCTACCTGATTCTGCAGCCTGGCACATTTGCACACTTTTAGCATCTTAGCCCAGACCATGACCCACAGCCTGACTGATGCAGAAGTATGCTTCTGACTACTTTGTCACTTCCGACACAAAAATGTGCAGAAATCTCTAATACTGCAGGCAATAAGGGCAGTGCATGAACAGAAGCAGGTGAAGCACTCACATACAGTAGTTGCTCCACAAGTTCAGCATGCCTGTTGTGTCAGTGACACTACTTCTGTGCTGTTGAAGTACTGTGTGTGGAGGCACAGACTTGGGCTGGGCTGTCCTGCTGTGGTTTGCATTATCCTGGCATGGTTTTTGTGTGTGCAAGCCAGTGTCCCCTCAGCCAGTGCCTGCTAATGCAACAGTCCAAACAGGGTGGGCATTACTCTGCCATACAGCTTGGGTGCAGTGGTGGTGACACAGAAGATTGGAGTTTCCTGTCAGCATCACAGGCTGTGCTAGACCAGTCAGCCTCTTTTATTCCTTCGAGTAGATGCAG